AATATAAGAAACGTAGGAACAAAGGAACTGATTAATTAAACGGCTCATTTTTCTCGGGAAGTAATTTTCTCTAAATGCTAAATAAACATTTTATATGACTATAGATTTTTAAAATCACTAAGGGTAGTAATCATGAATAAACTTATTAACTTAATTTACCGCCACTACTAATGCAACCGGAAATATATAAATAAATGAACAATTATTATTATTATATTTTTTCTGTCTACTTATCTGGAACCAGAAGAGTGAAACATTGTAACTCTGAGTCGATCTTCGACAAATAACCTCAATTTTTAACGTTTGATAGAATAATTATTAGTCTATGTAGCATATTATTTATTCTTCTTATCTTGAGATACGATAAATTATGTAATTTTACGTATATCAATAGGTGTTATATATATATATATATATATATATATATATATATATATATATATATATATATATATATATATATATAACTACAAATGTTTGGAGGTACAAAATTTATAATTAGTTTTAAAACAAGGAATGCATTGATTTTAATTTTAAAAGTCTCTCAGGCCCTTTCATCAACATCTCATCAGGAGACAATAGTTGGATTTGCTAATCAACGATTGTCTCCTGATGAGATGTTGGCTTTAAAGGGCCCTAGAGACTTTTAAAATTAAAATCAATGCATTCCCTGTTTTTAAAACTATATATATAACTATATATATATAACTATATATATATAGTTAACGACGAAATTATTCGTACACTCATCAATTTTAAATCTCCATTTCTCAGGATCTGATGCCCATATAATGCCAGTTTTTTTATATTAATGAGCACAAAAACGAATATAAAACTCAATTTTAAAAACAATAGCTTAAATACAGCACATTTGATTGGTGAATTATGCAAAATGGGAAAAGACAAAATGATTCGAATCTCATCATTGTTGATTTATCAGGAATGAGACTTCCTCATGTTATCAGACTGGATCAGGGCGATCCCAGCATGCGGCAGCTTTGGAAAGTGCCTGAAAACCATACCAGGGGTTGACCCAAACCTTGTGAGTGAAATTAGGTAGACGGTACCCTTAGGGACCGTCGTTAGCAGTGTGAGCACGAAGTCACCAGCCATCGTGAACGAGGGCTTGTTCAGATTGTTGATCACGCTAGATAACACGCTCTTTCCCAGAAACTGTAAATGAGGTCTGATCAGCATAGATGCAGTAAAATCCACACGTGTTGAACAAACCCAAATGAGCCTGAGCAGGCGCTTGCAGTAGGGATTGGCTAGCCGCCTTAAAAGACGGGTATCCTCGAATATGAGTGGCCATATATATATATATATATATATATATATATATATATATATATATATATATATATATATATATATATATATATATATATATATATAGTGTGACTTCATTTGTAACGGGTACTGGGATCGAGGCCACAGAAAAGAATACGATTTATATATATATATTTAAGTAATTCATCGAGTCTGAAACCTCACCAGAATGCAGAAAAGCACTGGACAGCTGTTTCGTCCTATATATATATATATATATATATATATATATATATATATATATATATATATATATATTCGGATAAATTGTTGGATATTTCGCTCGAAGTTGTGCATAAAATTTCGAGGGTCGTATTTTGCTATTTTTGTTCAAATACTTTCCGAGTTTCGCAGTCATTATGAAGAACTAATATGGTATTTCTATTGTAGTCAGAAATCCTTCTGCTTCCTGGTTTTCTTTGGGATTCTGGCCGTTTGAAATGGTCTAGCGTGACATCATGTGTAGTGGGTATTGGGAACGAGATCACGCAAAAGAAAACGATATATATATATATATATATATATATATATATATATATATATATATTATAATTAATTCATCGAGTCTGAAACCTCACCAGAATGCACTGGACGGCTGTTTCGTCCTATATTTGGGACGCATCTGCAGTGCGCACCCACTACCGATAATTGACTTCTTTATTTCTCTTTCTTTTTATTCTTCATTTCTCTTTCTTTTTATTCTTCATTTCTCTTTATATTTTCTTTGTTTAATTCTTCACTTTCATTCTTTATTTCTTCATCTCAGAAATATAGACAGACTTCTTTATTTCTCTTTCTTTTTATTCTTCATTTTTTCATTTCCTATTTCCATCCTTTTTTATTTATTTATTTTTCATTCTTATCGCATATAGATTGCATTGCACGAGTCTTTTATGGTCGAAACGTTTCTCTGCCTTAAGAAACAGTATTTAAAATCCCCGTTTCATATCGGGGCTTGAACACTCATCATTGATGCCAGTTGCAAGTCGTTAGCATTTATTTGTTTATACTCATTTTTAGCCAAACGACAACGAATGTCTTTTTACTTTGACATCAGTACAACTGGAATTTTATCTCCTCTGTCGCTGTTGATATTTTAATAAAATTAAGTCAAACGGCTTTTGGCCCCAAGTCGTATGATCTAACAATGTCGTTATCGGTAACGAATTCTTGGCGGAAAATTTATCATCTTTCACATTCTAGCCGCCATTTTATTGCTTTAACCAATCAGCTATCAGTATTTGTACCCTTATTGTAATTGTTTTAATTGGATTAAATTCTACGTCCTGAAGCCCTTGGCTTGTCCAATGCTCTCAAGGCTGTATTTGCCTATTCTGGTTCGACGTCCCATTGAGGAGCGGGTAAAATTACATCTTTCAAATACAGAGATAGATAGATAGATAGATAGATAGATAGATAGATAGATAGATGATAAAGAGAGGGAGAGGGAGAGGGATATTGTGAGGTAGCTTGCCTGTCTTGAAAATCTGCATAGGAATTATTGGTATTGATCAAGGATTGAAAACCTACCACTGATATTAAATGACAAATTTCTGTTCAAAGGACATATATCGTCAGGCACTGATAAGATTAGAACAAAAAAAAGCCGTTTAAAAAAATCCACCCTCAAAATCTGTAAAATTGATCACGGGATACTTTTTCAGCACTTTTCTTGTGTATATATATATATATATATATATATATATATATATATATATATATATATATATATATATATGTATGTATTTATGTGTATATATACATATATATATATTCATACATGTTTCATTAAATAATATAGACAAGTGTTGACTATTTATTTTATGTAAATTCTTTTCATAACGTCTGATAAGCTTAATAACATTATCATTAAAAGAAGAAAGAAAATCAAAATATTGATCCATATTTTTTAATCCAATCTAAGCTTTCGGATTACATAAGCCATTATCAAAGATGTCAATTACTGTACAACATATTAAGCAATATACGGACATTGATGATAATCTGTGATTGCTTACATAGCAATGATAAACACGTGCATATATATATATATATATATATATATATATATATATATATATATAATATATATATATATATATATATATATATGCACTCTGACTGAATCCTGTGCTGACTGAACACTCTTTTTGGGCATACACACACACACACACTATATATATATATATATATATATATATATTGCCACACTAGGATAAAATGATCTTTAACAAAGTGATCATATTTTATTCCTAAAAATGGATACAAACATATCACAGGGATTAAAATTTTACGTACGTTTCGGTCGACACATCTTCAGAACAAAATAATATCGCCGGCAAGTAAAACTAAGTGGTTGAGAAGAAAAATTATTTTCAACAACAGGTGTTAAATTTACGAAAACTAGGGGAGGGAACAAATAACAAAAAAATTCAAAGAAACTATTTTCCTAGTAAGTTGCCGGATTGGAAACCAACTCCCCGGTCAGGGTCATCTTTTATTTTAATTCTTTCTACCGCCACCGGGCAGGACGTCGTATATTAATAACAATAGACTCTAAGATGTACAAGTGGAGTCTGGTCTGTCTCCTGTGCAAGACAGAGAAGAAATCAGGAGAAGAGTCCGTCCTGCAAGCAACAGAATGCAATAAATGCTTGCCGATAGCGGGGGCATGAACACCCGGATGCTACAGGCTCATGTCTACGTACCTGGCCCGGAACATGCTGGGCGATCCTAACCTCTAATCATTGGATAGTCTTGCTCACATAGACGATCTCACATCGACATTTACACTGATACACAACTAAACTCTGCTAATGTGTAGGCAAGACATACGGTCAGAGTGAAATGCCCTTATGGTTGAACAAATATTCCGGACCAAATGTCATTAAAACACCGTTTCATGGAAGATGATATTTTATCGGCGTATATTTGACTCACGGGACTAATCCATGTTAGTCTAACATATTCAGGACATTTAACAGAGTGGGTGGCATATAACTTGACTCTATTGGACTTGACAATTTTACGTTCAATAGTAGCAGTGATAACACATTCAGGGTAACTATACAGCTATTTGATTATCCTAAGCTCGGCGTCAAGCCTGCACTCAGAACATAACATCAAACACAGTGAGTAAGGGTACTAATAAGATTAATTTTCCTGGTTTTGGGAGTAAGTGACTCCCAGGTGATGCATAACCCAGAAAAGGTATGTTTTCGATAAATATTAGTGAGAAAATACGAAGGTGTTCTTTCTGCCAACACATCTAGGAAAGGTAACTGATTGTTCTCTTCTACCTTCATAGTATATTTCAAAGAGGGGTGAAGATTATTAAGGTATTGTTGTAGAGTAGTTTTCACAGTGGAGGCTTGTATTTCAATAAGTCGTCCTAAATTAGGTTCGACGTACAAAATGTTAGGAACTTGAAATGAGAGTTAATGACGCAGCAATCTAGTTGTGATGGTTGATACTTCAATGTCCGACATCGACTGACTCACTCAACACCACTGAGCTCAACTGGCGATCGCTAGTACTACTACTACTACTACTTATTATCTGTGGGAGAGTCTATTACAATAGAATAGTTATTATGGTATAACAGATATGAAAACAAAAACAAAAAAAAACTCTTCCGTCTTACTATGAAAAGAAATCGACGTGAACGTATCATGGACGTAACGGAAGTAAGAGTAAGTATTTGGGACTTGCTAGATTTCCCCACGTTCCATTGGCTGGGATATTCGGACACAACGCCATTCGGACACGACGCCATTCGGACACTACACCTACAACTAGGGGAGAGAACAAAAAAATAATAATATTTTTCAAGTTAGGTGTTGAATTGGTGACCGGCTCTCCGAACTTACGTTTTAATACTCTCTGCCTACATAGGGCAGGGCGTTGTATATTAATGACAGCCAACTTCAAGATGTCAAGGTTGAGTCTGGTCCATGCCCTGTGAAAGACAGAGAATAACTCCAGAGAATAGTCCATCCTGCAAGCAACAGAATTCAATAAATGCTCGCCGATAGAGGAGTCATTAGCTTGTGAACACCCGGATGCTACAGGCTCATATCTACATACTTGGCCCGGAACAAGCTGGGCGACCCTAGCTTCTAACCACTGGATACTTTTGCCCACATAGTCGATCTCACTTACACATTTATACTGATAAACAATTAAACTCTGCTGATGGGCAGGCAAGACATCATTGCTGCCAGAAGGAAAAGCTCTTCTGGCAAAAAAAAATATTCCGGACCAATTCTGCATTTAAACATCGTTTGATGGAAAAAAATATTTTATCGGCGTATATTTGACTCAGGGGAGGAATCCACAGTAGTCTAACATATACAGGATATTCAGCGGGACTATATAACCTTAACCCATTGAACTTACTAATTTTACGTTCAATGGTAGCTGTGATAACACATTCAGGGTAACCATTCTCGAGAAAGAGCTGTTTAATTTTCCTAAGCTCGGCATCAAGCCTACACTTACAGCACAACGTCAAAGCACAGTGAGTAAGGGTACTAATAAGATTGATTTTCCTCGTTTTAGGGGCAAGTGAATCCCAGGTGAGGTATAACCCAGAAAAGGTATGTTTTCGATAAACACTAGTGAGAAAACCTGAAGGTTTTCTTTCTACCAACACATCCAGGAAAATAGGTAACTAATTGTTCTCTTCTAAACTCCGTAGAATATTTCAAAGAGGGGTGAAGATTATTAAGATACGAAAAAAAAAAAACAAAAAAAAAAACTCTTCCGCCTTTCTACGAGAAGAAAACAACGTAAACTTATTGTTATGGCCCAAGTTCCTTGTACCACGGTGATGGCCCAAGGTTAGAACCAATGAAAGAATAACACAAACACAGGTATGGAATATAAAGATATATTACAACAGAAATATAATACAATGAAGTAGAAGTATTAGTAATGACTATCAGATTTGGTTATAGTGAACTATGTTGTCTCGACAAGTATCACTATTCCAATGTCCTTCTAATATGCTCTCAATTATCTCTCCTCGTCTTACAATCTCTCATACCTCTTGATAGGCGCAGTATTTATAATGTCAGGAATAGGCCATTATTATTATGGGTAAGTTCCCATAACACTTATCATCGACGTAGCGGAAGTAAGGATAAAATGTTAGAAGATCTGGACTTGCTAGTTTGCCCTGCGTTCTATTGGCTGGGTTATTCGAACACTAAACGTAGTATGATTGGATACTGGAATTTCAACTTGTACTTGCTGGACAGGGAGGACTTTTGGCTGCAGCTGACTAGATTAGTGCAGCTGGAATTAGTGGGGGCGGTTATTAGGAATAAGTGGTGGGAGAATCTTAAGGATAGGATTAGGTATTTCATCACCGAATACAGCAAGTAGATAACATTAAGAAGTTGAAGGTATTAAAGGATAATCACGGCAGGGCGATGACCTGTGGAGATCCCCTAGAGATAGGCTCAGCTAGGCAGGCCCTGGAGCATTTAACTAGAGAGCGCTATCATAGCCAGGTAGTTAGATTAACGAAAAGGTCTAATAAAGCGGTGAACATGGGCGCGGAGTTGCGAAAGGAGAAAATACGTCAAGGTTTCTATCGTGTCATTCGTCTAGTGAACACCCAAGATGGGCGTACCCAGCGTACAAACGAGAACATGTACGAAGCGCTATGGTTTCTCTATTGTAGTTAGAATTCCCTTGTCTGCTTCCTGGTTTTCTTTGGGATACTGGACGTTTGAAATGGTCTAGCATGACGTCATTTGTAATGGGTATTGGGAACGAGGCCACACAAAAGAATACGATTCATATATATATATATATATATATATATATATATATATATATATATGGAAAAACAACTAAAAAGTTGCAAATTAAAAAATAATGCTTTTTTTATGAAAGTATTTATTTATATTTGATATTTCAGATCGACCTCGATCTTTCTTCAGAAATAATTCAGAAATAATATATATATATATATATATATATATATAAGATGAATAGATAAACCTAGTGAGCCAGACAAACCTACCTAGCTTTCCCTGACGATCCGCTTAGGTGAAACATGGGTAGGTTTGTCTGGCTCACTAGGTTTATCTAGGTCTGCTCTACGGTTGTATTGGGTTCTTTTGTTAGTTAGTTGTTACTCGGATCGGGGTTTTTTCTTTGGGATTTAAACCTGTATCTGTGCGATTTTTTTGTCGGCAGAAGGTCATGTTTGTAGCTCTTTCTTAAAACCTTTTTTTCTTTCGGGATTGATTTGATTACTGGCAAATCAAAAATTCGAGGGTTTTTCGAAACAAGTATACCCTATATATATATATATATATATATATATATATAGTCCCCTAATGATTGTCCAAATTTTAAATGCAAGTATATAAGATTATAAAAATGACATAAAGTACAAAATATATTCATTACATAACTGCTATACAAGAGGATTTATTCTTAATTTTTTATTCTTTCCATTATTTACAAACACACACACACACACACACACACACACACATATATATATATATATATATGAATATGTGTGTATTCTATGTATAGAATGCATGGATCGTGATTGGAAGCATCTGTAGGCAAAATACTGATGACCAGCCACTCTCTATCTCCCCTCAGTCTTATGCTAAAAATAATTTATATTATTATTAAATAAATCCGCTTTTCTAGTTATTAGAGTCGCTTATCTTTCGCAGGAGTTAACTTTTGTGCAGTAATTAGTTTAACGCTTCTTCCTATTTTGGATGGGAGAACTTCCTCAGTTCCGGGAATTTTTCTCCCCTGGCCTTTATGCATCCGTACGTTTATGGCGCTCCCCATGTTAAAAACGACCTTGTGCCACATCCAACCTAAATGGAGAGGCCGGGTAAATATACAGAGCACAGGAGATAACTCTTGTGCAAGAAATGGAGTAAATAGTTTTCACTTCAATTTTAGATGTGAGAACTTGAAAGTCACAGAGGCTGCAACTTCTTTATTGCAGTAAAAAAAGGACGGATCGGTGTAATATCGATGCCAACCTTAAAATGGTTACAGGAATTGAGCGAAACATTTTTTTTTTTGTCCTCGGTATATTTGCATACTGATGTTCATGACGCTTCCTACGTTAAAACCATCTTATGTCTCATCATACCTTAGTGGGAAACCCGGGTAAATGTACCTGGTTATTAGAGTCGCTGTTTGTGTTTTGCTTCTGATAATGTGGACAATTGCTGATCATTGTCGACTTTCATTGTGATTTTGTTTCCAGTTTTTTTAAGTTATCGCTAACGAGGTGATTTGTTTTGACAGACTTTGTAAGTTGGGACACAGTCAAAATGTATCCATACTCGAATTGATAAGCGATCTATAGCATCGCCTTAGAAAGAACCATTCTGTAAAAAGAAAAGCGCTTTTTCTTAGAATTTGTGAGCTTGAAGTTTACGTTAGTCTGAGATTGAAATCCGTTGGTGTTCAATTCAGAGCTCAACGCTCAAGATAATTTGATCCTTGTTCAAACCTCCCAAAAAAAAGTTTTCTTTTTTTCTTTCCTGTCGTGTAAAATCATCCGGTGACCTGGTAGTTGCCTAGGTCAGCGTTCGAATAACAAAAGTGTCGGTTGTATTTATATCAAAATAGGAATATATATATATATATATATATATATATATATATATATATATATATATATATATATATATATATATATATTAAGCCTCTCTATCTGGTTCAACGATTTTTTTTCTTTTGATTTCTGCTGTTTATAAAGACGATCCTGAGAAACGGAAAGTGATACAACCTTGTGGAAAAAAATGGAAAGAAAAGAAAATGTTAAATAAAAAGGAAAAAGTGAATTCTTTTTTTATGGGTTTCTCTTGGCTTTTGGTCGTGGATATTTAAACGCCATTCGACAGATAAACGTCAGTCTTGTTTAGGTTTTCGGTCGATAAATAGGCGGCACTTAAAACCCATCATTGGTGCAATGATCTTTGCCTCGTGCGCTGACCACGGACGTTGTAGGGGGCGCTGATCTGGGGTAGAAAAGACTAAGAGATAAAAAAAAAATCGCCCACTAACTAAAGCAGGCTCATATACACATTGTCAATAGAATCAGAGCAGAAGAAATAGCATTTTGCACACCACACACACACATATATACACACACACAGAGACGGATATATATATATATATACATATATATATATATATATATATATATATATATATATATATATATATATATATATATATATGTGTGTGTGTGTGTGTGTGTGTATAAATGAAAAAGACAATAGAAAACTGCAATATTGGCCGACGTTTCGTCCAATGTGGACTTTTCAAAGGCAAAAACGAAATGAATTTGCCAAAAAAAAATTTGGCGAAAAAAGTCCACATTAGATGAAACGTTGGCTAACATTACAATTTTCCTATTGTCTTTTACATTTATAAATATTGTCTTTTTCTACAGGTTAACTCTGAGAAATTTTTCATATATATATATATATATATATATATATATATATATATATATATTGGAAAAGGTATTAATCCTTTTCTTCTTCCTCCAGCTATGGGTAAATAGTAGGACAGACTGGATTCTATAGCCTTGGATGGTAACTGGTCTAGGAGAAGGGCAAGACCCGCGGAGGGTCGTTTGGGGACTCTGTAGCACGTAGTGCACCAGGTTCCTGTGTTC